TCAAAATTTCTGTTCAAAATATTGCTTTAGAATCTGTCATTTTATTTATTGGTATACCGTAAAAAATGACTGTCTAAGTATTAGGTCTCGTAATTTATATATTAGATATAAATGTAAATACCCCGTGAAAGAAATGAGCACTTTTGATAATTGACAAAGTAAACTGTTCAAGTTTATTTCATTTATTTTTATACATTTCTTTTAATTTACATGCATTACATTTTATTTGAAATGCATGTACATTTGCCTGAACATGCTTACGTATAGGGTCAAGGAAGCTGAAAGGGGTGGTTGAGTCTGATGAAGTGAGGAGTGCCATCAGCTTGGCCTGCACTGGTCCTCCCCCTCCAGTGAAATCAATTAAAAATGGTAATTAATGCATGTACAAAAGGATATTCTTTCATGAAGAATGGGATTCATTGAAGAATAGAAGAAGAGTATTTTAAACTTTAAAATAAAAAAAAAAATCTGCGACAGGAATGAAAAATGGATTTGCTTTATATCCAACTAGTTAAGCATTTATATGGATGAAAATTATATCCAACCACAAACCAGGGGAAATTTTTTTCCAGTTTTTATCAGGTGTTACATCACTTTAACAAAATTGTCAGTGATTGTATTTTCTTTAATTCAGAGATGGCGAACATCAACATACAACCATGGACGATGCAGGTGAAGATGTGTATTATCTCTAACTTGGTTAGACAGTATAGTAAGTAAAAAAACAAGAGGCCCAACGGCCTTGAATCGCTCTTCTGATAAATAGTACAACCTATCACTTGTATTTGAAGCCTCTAACCCTAAGTATCCAAAGACCCAAGTTGCATCAACTGACAAAGTTTAATGATTCTTAGCCAATTAGGACTGAAGATATTTTAATAAAGCTATAAAAAAAACCATGAGTAGGTCACATTGACCTACTTTAAGATCGAAGTTTTCTGAGGACTCAAGATGCATTAGTAGACCAACTAAGATTGAAGATTCTAAGCCAATAAGTATTTGAGATATTCAAAAGTATGTCACCGTGACCTACTTTTTGGTCGACATTCTCTGAAAACCCAAGAGACATTAACTAACAAAGTTTGATGATTTTAAGCCAATAAGTACCGGGGATACTTAAATATAGCCATAAAATGTCAAAAGGAGGTCATCGTGACCTACTTTTTGGTCGACATTCTCCGAAAACCCAAGATGCATCAACTGACAAAGTTTGATGATTCTAAGCCAATAAGTACTGGAGATACTTATATATAGCCATAAAATGTCAAAGTAGGTCATCGTGACCTTCCATTTTGGTTAACATTTATCAGAGGCCTAAGATGCATCTGCTGACCAAGTTTGATAATTCTTAGCCAATAAATACCTGAGATATTCAAAAGTAGGTCACCGTGACCTACTTTTTGTTCGACATTCTCTGAAAACCCAAGAGACATTAACTAACAAAGTTTGATGATTCTAAACCAATAAGTACCAGAGATACATAAATATAGTCATAAAATGTCAAAAGTAGGTCACCATGACCTACTTTTTGGTCGACATTCTCCGAAAACCCAAGATGCATCAACTAACAAAGTTTGATGATTCTAAGCCAATAAGTACCGGAGATACTCAAATATAGCCATAAAATATTGAAAATAGGTCACCGTGACCTAATTTTTGGTCGTCACTCTCTGAAAACCCAAGATGCATCAACTCACAAAGTTTGATGATTCTAAGCCAATAAATACCTAAAATACTGAAATATAGCCATAAAATGTCGAAAGTAGGTCACCATCACCTATATTTTGGTCGACATTTTTCAGAGTCCCAAGATGCATCAGCTGACCAAGTTTGATGATCATTGGTCTGAAGGTAATCAAAATATGCCTTTTAAACAATTTGAAAACAAATGCCTGCCAAATTCTAAAAGTAGGTCACAGTGACCTACTTTTTCTTAAATATGTTTTAAGGTCCCAAGATGCAGCAACTTACAAGATTTGATGATTCTTACCCTCTCAGTGTCTGAAATAATGGGATTAAATGTTTTAAAAAGGATAAGTCATAAAGTTCAAAAAGTAGGTCACGGTGACCTACTTTTAAGTTGACGTTGTTCAAAGACCCAAGATGATACATCAACTGACAAAGTTTGATGATCATAGGCCTGAAAGTGTCCAAAATATGCCTTCAAATCAATTTGAAAACAAATGCCAGCAAAATTAAAAAAGTAGGTCACCGTGACCTACTTTTGAGTTAACATGGTGTGAAGTCCTAAGATGCATCAATTTACAAGATTTGATGATCCTAGTCCTTATAGTAAGCAAAATATGGACATTTTCATTAATTGTAAATTTAGGTCAACTTTGAAGTGACCTTGAGACCACGCCCTTTGCCCCTGGGTCATGCCTTGAACAATTTTTAATCTTCAACATATCCTGATCCTTGTATGTAAGTTTGGTGAAAATCTGCCTGATGGTTCTGGAGAAGAAGATTTTTTTGCAACCAGTACTTTAGGTTTTGTTTTCCTGATTATCTCCCCTTGTTTTAGGGTCCCAACCCTTATTTTAGTATAAATGGTAGTACATGGGCCAAGGATACTCTGTGACAAATTTGACACTGATCGGCCAAGGGGTTCTTGAGTTATGGCCCATATTCTAAAAAGTTAACGCATTTACAATCAATAAGCAGTATGAACATTGATCACCCTTATATTTTAGATATTTTAACCAAATACTTTAATATCACAAATCAAGGTAAAGTTGTTGAATTTTGTTGGATTCCAAGTCATATTGGTATTTCTGGTAACACTAAGGCTGACAGTGCTGCGAAAAAAGCACTTCAGTATGAAATTGTTCACTTTAAAATTCCTTATACTGATTTGAAATCTTTAATAAAAAATTATGTTCATTCTCTATGGCAAATATATTGGAATTTTTGCGATAATAATAAACTTTATGCAATACAGAACACAGTTAATCATTCATCTAATTTTGGTTTGAAACGTCAGGATGAAGTTATTATTTCAAGAATTCGTATTGGACATTCAAGGTTTACTCATTCATATTTACTCAACAAGGGACAACAACCCGAATGCTTCTCTTGTGACTGTGTAATTACCCGACAACACATACTATTAGAATCTGATTTTTCGCCCATGCGTAGTAGACTCTTTAATAATATACATACAATACATGACCTTTTTCAAAATATTAATCCGTTTACAATATTAAAGTATTTGCAAGAAACTGATTTTTACTGTAAAATCTAAATTAATGTATTTTAATGAAAACCATTTTTAATTATCTTAATTGAACAGCTTTACATTTTTAATTTTGAGGTCCGTCGGATGGGACGTTAAATGGTGCCCCGTGTCAAGGATTACAACCCCCTTGGCACGCAAAAGATCGTTTTCCTGATTTTCGAAAAAGAGTAGGCTCATTGGGGGCCGTCAGAGAAACCCAAAACTTTAAAAACTGGTCACATGATTTACTTTTTATCGCCGATATATGGCTGAAATATTGCCGATTCGGCGTAAAACATTAATCAATCAATCAATCAATCATACCGCACACCGCACAAATGGCCATAGCATTAGCTCTTTGAGCCTTTGGCACAGAAGAGCTAATAAAAAAAAGACTCCTGAGAATGGTATTGGTGTAAGATATAAAAATATTTTTAAGTATTTTGACAGAAATACTTTTGTATATCTAGACACATAGGAAATTTTAAATGTGAAATTTGCATGAATTTTATATTTGCCTTATATTCTATTTTTATACCTCGTTAAGTTTTGTTTTATTAACTTTAAAACCTTTTTTATAGTGGAACTGAAGTATGATAAGAAGAGGGACATTTGGGGTTATCCATCCCTTAAACCAGAGTGGTGACCAGATGAAATTGAGTACATTTCGCCAAATGAAAGACGGACTGTTGGTAATATGTTTAATTATATCAGTTTGCTTTACTGTGTGCAATATTCATCACCTTTTTATTTTTACAACTAATCACTATTTCTAGGTATTAAAATGTACACTGTACCTGTCCTGTATATTTTTATGTTGTCATTTGTTGTTACAGTTGTTTGCTCATCTTGAGGCAAAAATTCAAATCTCACATATTTCACTTGCATCACATTTTCCTTGATTTTAGACAAACCATTGAGTAATATTAAGATGGGTCAGATTATTGATTCATACGTAGAGTGGAAGGTATTGGAATGATGATTTTGAGAGTTTAACTGTTCTGAAAGTTTAGAATTTCTAGTTTGTAGTAATGTGATTGCACGGTAATCAGGATTAAACAAATCTTGATAGTAGGTGGGTGGGATGTTATCATTAAGGGAAAAATCACTTATTCTACACAGACAATTGTAGTCTTAAAATAATCTAAATTTTAAAGATGCTTTCTTTAGTATGTTTTTGTTAATGACATGATTATCTTGCAATCTTTTGAAGAAAAAATATAGTAATTTATTACAAGTAGTTTAGTTTATCAGATTTGTAGAAGTGAAAACTATATATTTGAAGTTTCATAGTATTTATTGGTAACTGCAATGCATACATGTTAAGTTACACGTGTATGTTTACATGTTAAGTTCATTTTCACTAAAATTTCTATGTAAATGGAGTATTTTCAACATGAAATCACATGTAATATGTATGTTAAAAATGGCAAAAAAAGCCATCTCAACAAGGACTAAACCTAGGACCTGTGGCATATGCTCTAACTACCAAGCTATTTGATACTTTTGCCCACATGCGAACCCGGTGACACATGTATTTTAAATTTAAACATCATGAAAAAAAAATGTGATTGTATTATACAAAATGAATTTTGTGCATTTAAGCTACCTGCACTTTAATATTACATGAGCTTTTGCCTTGTCAGTACTAACGTAAGGATTTTAAAGAAAGGAGTGGAGAGGTATTGGAAGAGGCAAGTGGCAGTGAGGAAGTCATTCCAGGTCCTTCAAATTAATTAACACCTGGTATGAATTCTTCTCTGTCTACCTCTCCAACGTTGGAGAGGGTTTCTTTTCAGGTGATTCAGGGAGCAAGGAAAATGAAGCATGTCAGATGGAGATGGATGAGGAAGAGATAGATCTATCAGAGAGGACAGACATGGGGGAAACAGTTATGCTGGACGGGAACACAAATGACATGTGCAGCACAGAAAATATCAATATGCAAAATCTGTTGAAAGTTGGCTGGGATGATGATGCTCTAACTAAATGTAAGATAATGGGCTTAATTTAATGTACAGTTTTGTAATTGAACATTGTATGATTTTAAAAAACCTGACAATATCTATGATGAAAGAATATGAAGAATGTAGCTCTTGTTTGTAACAGTAACTGTATTCTCTCTCTCTCTTAACCCTTTTTTGTAAACCATTTTATCGCAGTTACTTCTGTTCTCTGCAAAAAGAAATCTTTGTACAGATCTATGTGCATTTTGAACAATGACTTTGTAAATTGTTTATAAACACTCTCAGATATCCACAAGATTTGGTCCAAAAAGAGAAATGACAGTGTTGAGCCATATCTGCTGTCAAAAACATGTGGTGTGAGCATTAACAACAAGTCACTCATCAGTGCAAACAGTTTGATAACAGAGGAAGTAAGTATACTGGTATATCACCTCATAACTTTGTGGTGTTTTTGAATAAGGCTTTTATCACTGTGAATAAATATCAAAGTGGTATTCTTTTCCACTTGAACTTATATGAAAAGTTTGACAAAACTTTAGATTTTCCTTCCCTTCAAGAAAGACCGTAGGCTTTATAAGATAAGTAGCAATGCTAAATAAACCATGCTGACAGATACTTAAACTTTCAAGAATTCTTCAAATTGTTTTAAATTCCTGTTTACTATCATCATTCTAACAATTGCTTAGATATGATGTCTAAAAACTGCTCAAATGTGATGACCTGATCTGCTAGGACTACACTTTTTTTTAATGTAATAAGCTTAAAATATGATGGTTTATAGTTAAATATTGATATTTTTTCACTCCTGGGACATGACAGCATTGCATATTCAATGTTTTGATGTAAATGGAATTAAATTCACACGTGGAACAGGATTTTTAAAACATATTTTCTTATCACCACCTTTTGAAAAAAAAAATTCTAAATGTACAAAAGAAATTTAAATATTTCATTTGTAGTTTTAATTTACACTTCTTTTTTCTTATTGGTAGATCTCTCAATTGAATAATAAATAATATCCAAAAATCTTTAATGTTTTGTTTTATTCATTTAAATCATTGTTGTATTTATTTTTTTATAGATAATTGATGCTTACCTTGGGATTATTTGTGGTGTAAGTAAACAATACCATTGGTTCAAAATTTGTCATTTAAAAGCCATAATGTATGAACTTATTAACTAATATGTATTAAGAAAATATACACATGTTTATTGCATAGATATATTTGCTTTTAAAATGACAATTATTTGTAAAAGAATCCAAACTAATCATAAAAAAATACTCTGTGTATGAAAATCTGAAAATAGTACAAGAGGCCCATGGGCCTTATAGGTCACCTGAGTATCATGCGACAACTTTCCAACAATTGAATTTGATCCATGTTTTAAACTAGAGTCCATGAAATTCACAATTTTGAAAGACTTTTAGAGGCACCATTGCTTATCATAATTATACACTCAGCATGCTTATTTTGGTTACTTAAAACCCAGAGGTAGATCAGAGTAACAAAGAGAAAATCCATTTCCACTTTTAGTGAATTTCAGGGCCCCTGGGTCAGGGCTTCTTCTGTTAGGGCGGGTTTACAGTTGAGCTCCCCATCCCACAGGAACCACTGACCCTGGGGCCACATCTTTCAAAATTTTGGAATTTTTTTTTAAATTTTATTTCATCATGCTGTTGATTAATACCAAAGTGCAGACTTCAAAGCATTAAATCTTTCCTAGATATGGGGCACCCTTACAAATTGTCACAGACAATGGGACAGAAAACGAAAAATTTGAACACTATGTTGACGACACTTGTATGCTCCAATTTTTTTTAGATGGCTGACAACTTTCCATCCTTCGCCTTACCCCTGGTTGTGATGGACTACCTAGGAGGATGGTGAATGAGCAGCCTGCTGCCGAAAGGAGACCACTGAATCAGGAGTTCAACCAATTTCAGCGTTGGCGACTGACCATACCAAGCCAAGTATCCCATCACCAAAAGATAAAGACCTTTCTAGTAAAGAAAAAGAATAAAACAGAAGAAGAAGCTTCATTGGATGCCCAGCAACTAACCTATTCCCTACACTTCCTGAAAAAGATTCAGCAGAACAGATTTGAGACCATATCCATAGTTATTGAAAAAACTAACAAATTCATTGAAGAAATTGAAATTACTCCTCCTTCATATATGTACAGGGCGGAGCTTTTACTCCTTGCATAGCATAAATGCGACAGGGAAAGATTCCTCGTCAGAAACTCCGACGAGTTGTGTCTTATTTATACAGGTAAAATATTTTTATAAATTGGCGCATATTTTTAATAACAGCTAAGTTTCAGATTGTTAAGTTTAAGTTGGCTCATTTTCTTTACAGAAAAAGATTTTTTATAATGTTTAATATTTCATGTACTATTAATTGTGTTGAATTGATTGAGTGTGTTTTTATTTCCTTTAGGTAATAATTTTGGTTAAATTGTTTAAGCCATCTAAAACAAAAGAAGAAAAAATTGCAATCTCATAAAATTCTAATTACAAATTCTATGACCAGACAGTCGCAGGTTGTTTCTGAATATTTTTCTTTGACAAATTCTGGAACTCTGTATACACCATTGCCAGCGCAAATTGAACGTGAAGAAATTGTTAAAAAGAATGTTTCATTTGTTTCAAAATGTAACAAAAAGTTTTGAAACGTCATTCATTTACTAGCAATTGGAACTTTTTGCCGATTTTTTTTTTTGCATTTGATTATTTGTATTATTTATTAAATATTTATACTTTAGAACATAGTCATTGCACGTCATTTGATCTCCTGGTTATATATTCTAATCATTTTGGTTACTCTGAAATATCCTCTGATTATTTATTAAAAGTTTCAAATTTATATCTATTGCCCCCTTGGAAAGTTCTCGAATTAATTCAAACTAAATCAGTAAATACTTTTTCCAAGGGAAGGTTAAAGATATTTGTAAGAGGCCAAGTACGGACATCTATTTATGATTATGAACCTCATGTTTTTATGCGACATCCATTTAATGTAAACTTTAAATGCGCGTATTGCGACATTTTATGTCCTCAGTACAATACTGTGTACCTGGTAAAATGTTGTTCCTAGAGGGTTCATTATCAGTGTAAAGACTATGTTAAAAGTGGGGTATATTGCTTGCATTGTTAATCAAATTTTGATAGGTCCTATGTAAAATCATATGACCTTTAAAACTGGTTTTATGAGTACCAGCTCATCCAAGATTTGCACTATTGAAGGATGCCTTTTTGCATACTCATCCGAGTCAATGCAAGGAGACCGAGGACATTGTAACAAATTTTTAACTCCTCAGTCTAATCTGAGGAGTTTTGTCGCCTTTACCCAGGTAAAAGCCTAGGCTCTTGTAAATTTATACGTTATTTTTGGTTTAGTGTGATTTTTCCTTTATTGTTTTATTTTCTTTGTTCTTCCTTTTATTATTTATAAACAATATATGTATATATAGAAAAACAAATAATTTCTGTATTCTGTATTCTTATTTTGATTGTGTGTGTTTTGGTTTCCTTTATATAATAATTTTGTTTTAATTGATTAAGCCATCTGAAACGAAAGAAGAAACAAGAGGCCCACGGGCCGATTTCAAGACGAATTATCCCATTGTTGGACAATTTAATTTTGAGTCCTACGAGTAAGACTTTGAAAAGAAAATGAAAGGTAGGATAGCTTTTTTTTCAAAACGCCTACCGTTTTGCAAGAATTTTTTTAAGACGGTATTTAGAATGTTGTCATATTGTTGATTATGTTTTTAAATGTGCAATGTTTTATGAATTACCTAATAATAAGATGGTTGACGTACAGTGTCTTACATAAATGTATGATCTAAATACAAAGGTATTTGCAAAATAAGAGATGAAGTGTTCTTAAAATTATGAGACGAAATCTAAAGAGAGAAAAAAATTATAAATGGGAAGGGCCTTGAAAGATAGTAGAGGACACCCCGTATACCATTTGTTAAATAAATCCTAAATGGAATGGGCCTTGAACGATAGTAAAGGAAAACCCTTATACTATTCATTTAGGCTACAGGTTAAGTTAGGACTTAATAGTCTACCAAACGAGGGGTTTGGGGAGAAAAATTTGAAGGGAAAATAACCGTAATGGTAGGGATATAGTTATTTTCCATTCTTCCGAAATATTACGAGAATCATTCCTCCAGTCATAAGAAATACAGACTTAACTTTAAATTTTTTTTCGAAAAAGACAAAAGAGTAGAGTAAGTGTCAGGTGTAGGACTGTAACACAATGACAGCATAAATTTAAATATTTAATTTATTAATTATTATTTTCAATAATACTTTCTTAAATGTATTAACATTATTATTTTTAAATCACGGGTAGTGTTACACGTGATTAATTGGTGACGTGACCAGGATTACGTAATCTTACGTAACACGAACAGGAAGTCTCCTCGTCGCCTTAAAGTACAGCGACTTCAACGACTACTGTAAGTAACTGTTTTGTTACACTTTGATAAATTCATGATAGACTCCCAAGACATGGGCAACGCTTTTGATCTAAGTAGTGCTTTCACGAGTTTGTCGTCTATTCTCGAGAACAAATTTGATGTATTAGATTCATTAGTTAAGGGTTTAACATCTATTTTGGGTACTAACGGGATTTCTTATGTAATTACTCCGTATGAGGAGGATTTAACAACATTCAAAGTTTGGATGAAATCTGTTGAAAAATATGCATTCAAGAACCACTTTCCAGATAAAAAAAGTGCAAATTGTCGCTTTTGGTTTTAGTCGTGAGCGGTTTCTGATTTTATACAGAGAAAAATTATGAATAACCCAGACAGGTATGCTTTAGCTTAAAATTAACAACTTACAGGGAAAAGCTGATAGAGCTACACTAAGTTAATATCTACTAATTGGTGATATTGTGTATTTCTTGTCAAATGCAAACCATGACCCAGTGTTTAGATTATTTGTCCCTTTTCAATTTAGTTATGGGGTAATAAAACAATACGATGATGACACGGGGCATAAGGGAATAGACAAAACATTTGACTCTATCAGACAGAAATACTGTTGGCCTTATTTTTATCAAGAAATCACAGCTATGTAACTAAGTGTGTTACTTATTCAATGAGGTCCTTGAGAAAGTTGAAATCACCACTTCAAGAAATAGATATACCTCCATATCCATTTGCTAAGAGCGGGTTAGATTTATCGGGCCCATACACTAGGTCATTATCAAGGAACAAATACATTGTGGGGTTCATAGATCTGTTTAGTGGGTGGCCAGAGGCATTTGCTGTGCCAGATAAAACAGCTAAGACGATTGCTCATTTGATTATTGAAGAAATCTTTCCTAGATATGGGGCACCCTTACAAATTGTCACAGACAATGTGAC